TGCTAAGGGGAGCAGTGGACAGTACAGGAGGGTTCTATCATGCCATGTGGGTCACCTCCTTGGTGGAAAATTAAACTTGTGCTGTAGTGGCTTTGGACAGCTTCATAGCGCTGCACTTTAACTCATTGCACCACCAGGGAGGGCCGAAAGTTTTAAGTTGTGATAAAATCTAACATCAACTTTTTCTTTTGTAATTTACACATACAGTGTCATACTTAAGAATTTTTTGCCAAACTGGGAGTTTTATGGTTTTAGCATTAAAATGTATACTCCATTATGAGCTTATTTTTGTTTATAGTGCTGTTATCATATGACCAAGGGGGACACCCAGGCTCCCTCAGACTTGCATGCTCTAAAGGGGTCCAATCATCCATGTACACAAAGACAAATTATACCTAGTATAAAAAAACCGTGCATAGGAAAAGAGGAGAGAAGAAAAAATAATAATTTTCCATAAAACACTGAGATTATCCATCCTTTCATGAGTAAATGCCTAACCAAAGAAGGTTGGCCTGAAGCAGGACTGCTGAGGCATAAAAGCTTACCACAAATCTAAGGTATCTTCTGGAGGGGCAAAAGGGGCCAGGCAAGTCTGGAATTAAAGGAGCAAAGCCAAAGCACAAATCAAGGTAATGGCTGCCATTGTCAGCCTCCCAATGTCTCTCATTCACGTAACTCTTCAGAGTCTCTCCATGTCCCCCAAGACCCTTGCACAAGTCCAAACTGGAGAAGCAGCATACCCTTCTTTAGTGACTCTCTACTGTGTTTTCCAGAGTCTTTCCATCTTCCAAATTGAAACAACAAAATCAGTTCACAAAAATCAGTAGCTGCCATATATGAAACCAACCAACCTGAAGAGGAAGAAACTAAGAAAACCTTCGCATTTATAATTGTACCCAAACAAACAAACAAAAAAAGTACCTAGGAATAAACAAAGGAGCTGAAAGACCTCTGTAAGAAAAATTGTAAAGTGTTAAAAGAAACAGGAGTGGCCTTCCCTTGTAGCACATGAATTAAAGCACAGCACTGTGAAGCCAGCCACACTCACTGAAGCATGGGTTTGATTCTTGACCAGAGAGCTGACCCACATGATGTGGCAGACCTCACCTGACCCACTCACTACTCCCTTCAGCAGTGTATCTCAGTCAGTCAGCCTGTTCTGTCCCCTACTCTGTCTCTGGTGAATTCTTTCATTCTCTGAACCTCTGGCCTGTACCCCAGTTCTTGTATCCATAAATAAAACTTAAAAAAAATTTTTTTTAAAAGTGGAAGGAGATGCAAAAGAAATGGGAAGATATTCTCTCTTCAGGGATCAACATTATCAAAATGGCCATCCTACCCAAAGCAATTTATATATTCAATACAATTAAATTTTAATTAAAATCTTAATGGCATTCTTTCAGAAAATGGACAAATATTGCAGGAATTCAATTGGAATCACAAAAAACCCCAACTGCCCAAATTTCTCCTCACTCAAAAGGTGATGTCAAATTGTACTACAAAGCCATGATAATAAAAATAGCCTGTTGTTTTTTAAACAAAAATAGACATACAGGTTAATGGAATCAAATTGAAAGCCCCAAAAACAAAACTACACATATGTTCAACTAATGAATGACAGAGAAACAATAACATACACTAGAACAGCATAAATAGTGTTAGCAAAACTGGACTGCCTATGCAAAAGAGTGAAGTTGACTACTATCTCACACCATACACAAAAATCAACTCAGTATGAATAAAAGATTGGGATGTAAGATCTAAAACCATAAATTATATAGCAAAACAAGCAAAACATTTCGTGGAATCAGCTTCAGAAACATTATTGAGAACTCTTAGTGCAGAAGCAAGGAAATCAAAGGAGAATATAAGCAGCTGTGATTATATCAAACAAAAGAGCTTTTGTACAGCAAAAGAAACAGCAACCGAAACACAGAGAGACCCCACTGAAAAGAGGAAAATATTTGCACACGATACATCTGATAAAGGACTGATACTGGAGTTTTACAGAGAGCTCATACAACTCAATAAAACAACCCAATCAAAAAATAGACAAAAAGAGCTAAATAGACAGTTCTCCAAAGAAGCGCAAATGGTCAACAGACATATAAAAAAATGTTCAACATCATTTTTATCAGGGAAATGCAAATGAACACTACACCAGAATGGCCCATCTTAAGGGGAAAAGTGCTGGCAAGGATGTGGTGAAAAAGCAACTCTCTTTCTTGCACTGCTGATGGGAATGTAAACTAGCCCAGTCACTTTGGAAAGTTGTGTGGAACTTTTTCAAAATATTTACAATGGATTTACCTTATGTCCCAGAGATTCCATTCCTATGAATCTACTCAAAGGACCCAAAAGCACTAATTTGAAAGGAAACCTGCACTCACATTTATTGCAGCACAATTTAGCAATAAATAGCAAATGCCCCCATAGTAGATGTATGATCAAGAAGATGTGGTATATATACACAATGGAATACTACTAAGTGATCCAAAAAGGTAAGTCATGCCATTTGCAACCACATGGATCTGGAAAAGGATTATTCTAAATGAAATAAGGAAAAAGAGAAATATCAGGTGGTGTCATTTATATGCGGAATATAGAAAAGCCAAACAATGTATCAAGAAAAAGCAAAAATAGCAAGCTGACCATAGATCTGAGGCACACAATAGGGGAGTGGGAGTGGTCAAAACATGAGGGAAGATCACAAGGGACTATGGTGATGGATCACTGGGTCTATGGTGGTGGGAGAAGATAGGCAACACCCAAGGGGAGAAATTGAATACTATTTAAAAAGTTAACAATGACATAAGAAAATAATAATACAAATTATTTTTAGAAAGATTGAGGAAAAAAATTGGACTCTGGAAAATGAGCAGCAAGAAATTTAGAAGAATTTACCCATTGAAAACTGAGCTCTCAGATAATGAGAGTTTATGGCATTTTTGTCCTGGTCAGATGATAGTTGTATCAGAAGAGGCTACCTAGCACAAATGAACACCTTTACTTTTTGGAGTGGATAACTGGATTTGGAACAAAGTACCATGAGATACCACTACTTCTCCACCGGAATGATTATAACTACAACAACTGACATTAGCAAGTGTAGACAATGAAGTGAAATATAGAGCTGCCACTTAAAAAAAAAATTTATTTTTTTATTTATGCCTAGAAGTACTGGGATGTATGCCAGAGGTATGGGGAGGGAGGAGGTTGTGTGGTGAAAGGATTCATCAGAGACAGAGTGGGGTGCAGAACGGGCAGATCTAATGAACTACTGCTGAGAGAAACAGCAGGTGGACTAGGAGAGGTCTGCTGCACCATGTGGGTCAGTTCCCTGGCCAGGGATTGAATTTGTGCTGCAGTGGCTGTGGATAGCTTCACTGTGCTGAGACTTAGTCCCTTGTGCCACCAGGGAGGTACCAATAAAAGCATTTCTTGATACATTAAATTCCTTGAGGTGGAATGAGGATTAAGACCACCCTTTGATAGCAGATGGGGATGCAGCTAAAAGGAAAGACCAACCCACCAGTCTTATTAAGAGGATGAACTAGTATGTCTCGTGGGATTCTTTCCCATTTTTGGTCAGTTATTAAACATTGGCTGCTTTCAAATTGGGGTGTGTGTGTGTGGGGAAATCCTATTCTTCTGGGGTTTGTCCTTGGATTCCTCCTGTAAAGAACTTATATGCTTTAGCCAAAAAATACCATGAAGAATCATTAGCAGGATCTTCAGCCACAGGCTTTGGCACCCAGACCTAGAATCCACCCTCTCTATCTCCACTGCCCACGATATTTTTCACATAGTTTACGAGTTATTTTTGTTTTACCAGTTTTTTCTTTATTTATTTTTAAACGAGTGAGTGAAACCATCTTTCAATTTCTAACAACATTTTGTCCCAAAAGGTACTAAGTATTTCATCTTTTTTCACAGACCACAATATTATTCTGATAATAATTCTGTAAAAAGGAAAACAAAATTCTCTTATACAAATTTTGGGGGCTGAGTGTTGAAGAATACTGAACTCATGCAAACACCAATCCTTGACTCCTCCTTCCAAAGACAAGAGGCAGCAGAGTGACACTGATTCTAATTTTTGCAGCCTAGGATTCAACCTTGCGTTAGCCAAATAAATGGATGACAGAACAGGACCTAGAAAGATCTAAAATAAAACACCGTGGACCACTTTCATTTTCTTATTTGTCAACATATTGAAAACTGCTAAAAATAGGTAATGAAATTTGTGGTGTGTTTTAAGTCTTTCCATTATACACTATTTTTTTCTCCCTCAATCCCTTCTATTTCTTACTTTAGGAAACATGGGGAATTAAAAGTTGAAATAGCCTCGGTTTATAGTACTTTATGTGGGGCAAGGCAGTGGCCTTCTCCTGAGCTCAGAGCGATGACTCTGCAGCGACAGTGGCGCCTGGTTCCAACGAGATGCAGTAGATGCCAGGCCCCGACTGGGTTCCGGTTGCGCCCCGTCGGAGTCCAGCGTTCAGTACTGAGGAAATGGCTTGTCCTGGTGGAACACTGGGTCTCCCACCCTTTCTGCCAGAGGTTATCTGCCCCCTCCATGAAGGGCACGGGATACCCTTTAACAGCTTTCGGTTCAAGAACGCGGCGGTGGAAGGGCGGCGGAAGGGAAGAGACGGGTACAGAACCATAGAGCTGCGTTGAAAGGCCGGGCAGCTAGCCCACTAAGTCACCGGGGCAACACGGCGCGAATGCGCGCCGAGCGGGCCCCGCCCCAGAGCGCGCACGCCCACGGGCCACCGCGGACGGCCCACTCCTCTTCTGCCCAATCAACATCCACTTCCTGCCTCACTCTTAGCCAATCCTCACAGTCCACGAAGAATAGCCCTAGGGGGCGTATGGGAAGGTACGCAGAGCGATGGCTCCATTAACCAAGCGAATCTCGCAGCTTACGTGTGGGGGCGGGACTTGACGGTGGCTGCAGCTACTCAGGAGCGAGGGGCGGACGTAGGGCTGGGCTTAGTGCAGTGGGGTTTGCTCGCGCGGCGGTAGCTGAAGCCGAGGCCTCTTGCTTCTGCGGCACGTGACGGTCGGGACGCCTCTGGCGCTGTCTCCACTGCAGCGCGGGGCAGGTGTGCGGGCGGGAGAAGGCGCGGGAGCCGCCGGCGGTTCCCGAGAGGCTTGAGGTGAGACCGGGGGCCTACGCCTGTCCTCGGGCCTGTGAAGACTCCGGGGGGCCTGGGTGTGCGGCACCGCGGCCGAGGGGCCGGGCGTGGCCTACACTGAAGGGTCGTGCTGGGTTTCGAGGGCTCAGGCTTTCGCTCTGACTGAGGGGCGAGGCCTGAACTCGGCTAAGTCCATTTCGGGATAAGGCCCAGGCCTTTCCGTGGGGGTCGGGAGGCGTGGCAGGTGCCCTAGAGCGTCCCTTGACCTCTGGGAAAGCGAACGTCTTCCGATGGCATTGCTTCTAGGGCTTTCTTAAACTATTAAGTAGCTGCCTGGTAGGCGACGAGGAGGGCTGGAGTAACCGCTGATCGTCTGAAGTGGGATCGAGCGCATTCGGTGCTCCTGGTAAGGGGGAAATGTGACTGCGAGATAATATTTAGGACTAATGTTACCGGTTCAGTATTTGAAAATAAGATCGCAGAGTGGACACTGTACCACCGTGAAGAATGAGGAGAATGTGCTCGAACACGGCGGTGGTTGAAAAACTTAAGTTTTAACATTTACACCTGTTTCAGGGTTGAGTAATCCAGTCACAAATTCATTATAGGCAGGAAAGCACCCAAAATCTCAGTATAGACAGGCCGTTTTATAGTGGAAGAAGCTGAGGCCTAGAGGTATGAAATGACTGGCCCAAGGTCATGAGATTGGTTTTAGGATCACGTCGGGATAAGTTGAGGGCTAGGCAGTTTTGGTAGTGCAGCATAGCGGTTAAGGTAAAGACCTTGGTTCAGGTTCTGAAACTACCGTTTGTTGCTATATGAACTTGGGCAATTTACTTAGGCTTGTGGCCCATTCTGCGCTAATGATGGATTACTTGATGAAGTTGTTAGAATTAAATTAAGGTTTTCATAAAATAGGACAGGGAACTCAGACACAATCTATCTGCTTGATCAGTAAGAACGCAGTAAGTTATTATATTATGCTGTTGGTCTAATACACTGAATCTTATTCTTTAAAGTCAGTTAGTACTTTTTCCCAGGACCTGAAACCACATTTATGGCAGTGGGAGGAAGAATCTACACCTAGTGGATTTATTGCTGGACGTGATAGAAGTGAGTGCTGGTTGAGGGAAGTTAAACTGAGCTGAATATTAAAAGCTTGGGAGGACAAAGGTGAACCACGGTTAGGTCTCTTTACTTCCAATCTCGGAAATAGAACATTTTTGCTTATTTTTAAGTTTTCTTTTTTAAAGGGAGAAATTGTATTGATCTTTAAAATCTTCCTTTTTCCTGGGGTGCTTGAGGGTCATGAATAGAATCACTGCCAAGTGTTGTACATTTGCTATAATTATACTTTGAACAGAGGTAAAGAACTCTGTGTGGGAGTTCTCTTTTGCACCAGCCAGGGTGCACAAGCAGCAGAGTAACTAAATCATGAGGAGGTTAGAGTGAGCTGGGTTATTGGACTGAATATAACACAAAATTTCTAAACTATCTGAAGATAGGTGTCAAGTCCCTCCCACCGAATTATCTTGACTTAACACTTAAAACTATGTGTTATCTTAGAAGGACCACCAGCAGTCAACTTCTTGTCAGGAGTCCTTGCTGCAGTTCTGGCAGTCATGCTATTGCATCCATTTAGTTACAGAGTTCATTGTGCCCTGCTAGATAGCTTAAGGGGATGAAATGACAGTTGCTAAGCATAAGTGCAGGCTCTGGAAAGTTGAATTCTGGGCCCAGGATTGTAACTAGTTAATATCTTTAAGCAGCAAATGAGAATTCTCCTGGGTACCTAGCCACAGTAGGGTATATTACCCATCTAAAGGCAAGTGGTTGGAACAAATTGTGAATATGTACTTTGAAAAGTGTTAGCAATCCATAACAACTCATAGGAAAAATAAAAAGTTCCGGAACATAGATGTAACCTATAAAGCTTCCTGTAGAACTTTGTAGTTAAAGTGCCCTGTTAACAGCAACAAATGTATTAATACTTTTAAATTAAGTTTAACTGTGACCTGTGAAAACCATATGAAGAATTTGCTTTTAAAAGAATTTCTATATGTTGTCTTCTTTACATCTTAGACCAATTTAGTTTAGATAGCAAAAAGGGAAGTGCTATGAAAATAGGTTCTAGTGTTCCTGTCAATGAAAAACAAAAGTTAAAACTAAAGGCAGTGTAGATTTATTTTTTAGTGGATTGAACATTTACAATAAAAACCTTAGACCTTTTTATAATCTCCCAAATGCTTTTATTTTTTGACTAGGTGCATGTATATGTACTCAAATCAGATGATACAAAAAGCAGTAAAAAAGGCATGTCATTGACTGGCATCAAAATCCTTTTAAGTGGTTTCTTTCCAATTTAAGACTTAACTTATTTATTTTCAGTTTTTTTTTAGAACTATTAAAACTCAAATGGTAGCACTGGGGAATGCCTAATAGTAGAAATCATTGCTAATTTGAGCACATACAATAAATCATGCACTGTTATAAGCACTTTACATGCATTTTGTTTATACACTAGGAAAGCCTACATGTTTTTAATTCTGATTTTTAAAAAAAAATTTTTAAAGATTTTTTTTTTAAGATTTATTTATGCTTACAGAACTGGGGTACAAGCCAGAGGTGCAGGGGAGGTGAGAGGATTTGCCAGAGGCAGAGCTGGGGGCAGAACAGGCAGACAGATAAAGTACACTGCTGAGGGGAGCAGTGGGCAGGCCAAGAGAGGTTTGCCACACATGTGGATCACCTCCAGGGCGGGGGATCTACTCCCAGCTAGACTCGGGTACTGTAACATCTGCGCCAGCTTGCAGTGCTGTATCCTAACCCATTAGGGAGGGCCCTAATTCTGATTTTAAAGATTAAGAAACTGAGATCCTGAGGTTTGTACATCCCCATTATGCCAAGTTATTAAATAGCTGATGAGGGATTGTGACTTTCTGAAAACTGCTTATAATATCTGTCCAACTGTGACCTTAGATGGATTCTGTAACATCTCAGCCTTAGTTTCCTAGTGTGTCAAATGGGGACCCTCCTGGGGTTCTTGTGAATACTGAATTAGCAACCTGTGGTATCAAATCCTCACACTTAATATTTGAAAAGGACAATAACAGGATTGCCTACATGAAAGACAGACTCATTTTGTATTATACTCTGCCTTTTTCCTTGTAATTTTCCATGTATTTAAAGAAATTAAAAGTTGATGCCCTCCCTGCTGGTGCAGTGGGTTGAAGTGCAACACTATGAAGCTATCTACAGCCACTGCAGCATGAGTTAGATCCCTGATCAGGGAAGTGTTCCACATGGCACAGCAGACCTCTCCTGTCCCACTTGCTGCTCCCCTGAGCAGTGTATTTCAGTCACTCCGCCTGTTCTGTTCCCCCCTGTCTTTGGTGAATCCTGTCGCCAAGACCAGAGCCAGATAGCTTCACTGGTGGGCTTACTCCCGGTTCTTCACAAACTTTTCCAGAAAATAAAAGAGGACTATAACTTCCCAACTCATTCTATGAAGCCAGTACCCTCAAATCAAAACTAGACAAACACTTAAAAGAAAACCAGTGCTTCATATGAAAAATAGATGCAAAAATAGACAACCTGAAAATATAAAACCTTTAAAATAGTTTCAATCTCCACTTACCTTAAAAATCTTTTTTCTGCACGGATACTGTTGAGGATAAATTTTTGCCTTTTAGAGATGGTAAATTTAGTATTTCTTTAGTGTCTGCTCAAGCCTAAAGTTGTGCTAAATAGTTACCTGGGTTTACTAGAATTCAATGTAGAATGGGTCTGCCTTTCTTAATAGAGACTTTTGTATTTATTTGACGTCACATACATTATTAAATACATATTTTTCAATATGAAACTGTCTTAGAATGTGCCTAGAAACAGGAGTGTCATTAACCAAAAATTTAGGAGAATTAAAAAGAAAAGTAGTTGGTGACAGAGCTGAGAAAAATCACAGGTAAACATGGATTTTTCCATACCCACACACTAAAATTATATTCATCATTGCAAGGAAGAGTTGGAGAGATCATACAATTTAGTGGGACAGAAGTTTTACTTGTTGGTTAAAATCATTCATCTTTGTTCAAGTATGTTAGAAGAATGGGCATGTATATTAGACCTTTGGATCCATTATGAGAATTATTTTCACTGTGGTTGTATTAGTTGTATATCAAAGAACAAACCATTTGCATATACATAGAAAGTACTAGGGTCTGATAGACGTTGTATTATCTTTTAATATTTTCACAACAAACCTTTGAACCAGTAAGTGCTGAAACCCACATATCTACAAAACGGGAAAACACATGGAAGTTCAATAAGCTAAGACCCTAGAGAATATCCGGAGAGCTTGGACCCAGTTTCTCGATCTTGACAGATTAGCCCACCTGTGCAGCCTTGTGTATGAGGAATTGGTTTTCTATGTCACCAGTTTTAAAATAGGAAACTTTCACATCTAGAATTCAAGATAATTCACTTTCTCAAAGTAGTAAATTGAAATAGTAAAAGTGAATAGATTGTCTGCATTTGAAGATTACCTCTCATCTGAAGATTTCAAGACCTGAACATTTTGCTTTGTTTTTGGGAGTAAACACTTTGTGAGGCAAGCCAAAAATGACTTATTATAAATGATCGGGTGTTGGGTTCCTTTTCCTGACCTTGTTTACATTTGTTCGGGTAATCCCAAATTCTCTGACCCTGGATATAGGCAAATAGTTACATTTGACATTTGACGACTTAAACAAGATCCTTTGTTTAAATAGAAGGAAAGTTAGACTGTGTCGTCAAGTTCAAATTTTATTCTAACTTATATTTCCAAATCCCTCATAGTCTTGTACTTTAGAGGATCAGCTCACTTTTTTTTCTTTTGCATGTTACTTTATTAGCAAACAGAAATGTTAAGCATATATAATAATGATAGTAATTCTCCAGCATTTGCAGGAAATTCATAGAGGATCAAATTATTTTAAAGTTGGTTTCTAGGCGTCTTTGATTAAGCCAGAAAAATCATTTGCATT